GCATGCCCAGTGGTGTTTATGCAGATTATCTGCATGTGTATACCTGGGGAGAAAAGACATAAACCTTGGGTGTTATTCTTCAGGTTCAAGCCTTCTTGAATTTTTATATTTAAAATTGGTGTGTGTGTGTGTGTATGTGTGTGTGCGTGTGTGTGTGTGTGTGTGTGTGTGTGTGTGTGTGTGTGTGTGTGTGTGTATAAGAGAGAGGGAGACAAACAGAGACAGAGACAGAGACAGTGACAGAGAGAGGAATAGCTATTGTGCACAGGTGGAGGTCAGAGGATAATTTGTAGGAATCAGATCTCTCATTCAACCATGTAGAGTTCTGGAGATTGAACTCAAATCAACAGGCTGGGTAGCATGCACCTTTACCCGCTGAGCCAGTTCACTAGCCCTTGCTGGCCTGGGATTCGCTATGTAGAACAGGCTGCTCAAAAACTCTTGGAAATTCACCTGCCTCTGCCTCACAAGGGGTGGTATGAAAAGTTTATACCACCATGCCTGGCTTCAAGTATGATAAAGCATCAAGGATAAATTCCTCCAACATTTTGGGGAAGAAATTGTACAATTCTTGTCTTTTTCATTTTGTCCTGGGTGGAAAACAAAAGCTCTAACACTGTGCTACAGCCCTGTCCTCCATATCCCTACAATCACTACAGAGTACCAAAGCTGATGGTATCCTTCCTACCCCATCCTCTGAAGCCAGAATTTGACAAATACCCAAATCTGGCAATGAACAGAAACAACTGAGAAGCTTCTGCACATCAAAGGACACTGTCATTCACAGTGGCAGCCCACAGAATGGGATAAGATTTTCACTAACTACACAACCAACAGAGAGATAATATTCACAATAGAACTTACTAACTAGATATTAAAAAACAAACAATCCACCTAAAAATGGGTACAACCTAAACAGAATTTTTTTCATACTTTTATCTTGGATTGTTTATTCTTTTGTTTGTTATTGGACAGTCTTTTTCTTTTCTTATGATCCCCTGTTTTCCCTCTCATTTTTTTTTTCCAATGTCCCTGGGCTGTGGTGGTACACACCTTTTATTTTTCTTCTATTTTTTTAAATTAATTAATTAATTGATTGATTGATTGATTTTGGGTTTTTTGAGACAGGGTTTCACTGTGTAGCTTTGCACCTTTCCTGGAACTCACTCTGTAGCCCAGGCTGGCCTCGAACTCACAGAGATCCACCTGCCTCTGCCTCCCAGTGCTGGGATTAAAGGCGTGTGCCACCACCGCCCGGATGGGAGGAGGTCTTAAATACAGGCTTACAGCACAATGGGAGAACCCTGGAGGGCAGAAGTTTGTTATCGATCCTAAACAGAATTTTTAAAAGAGAAAACTTAAATGAATATGAAACATTTAAAGAAATGTTCTGAAGTCCTGCAGGACTGATGGAGGCCCGAAGCCTACATGGGACCCTGTTGTATGATGTGACTCCTCCTGCCATTTAAAATTACAACACTAGGTCCACTGGCAGCCCCTAACTTGGGGCTGCTGTGACTGCAGCCAGCACTGCTTGCCCTGCTGGGAGGCCCACCTAGTGGTAGCAGGGGTGGGGGTGGGACAGTGGTGCTGCCTGCAGGCTAAAAGCATAAAAGTAGAGCCTGGCAAGCCTTGAGGAGGCCAACATCAAGGTGAGGAGGACAACATCAAGGAAAGAGAGGTGGGTGGCAGCCTGGAATTAACAAGGAACTTTCCACCCACACCCCTACCCCAAAATCCTGCCAAGACCACCTTGACTCTGGGCAACAGGAGGATATCCGAGAAGATTCCCAGTGGTGGTACAGTATTTACGTCAAAAGAAAACAGAAACTGCCCCTTGGGAATGGCTGTGGGCTTTAATCCCAGCATTCTCAAGGCAGAGGCAGGCAGATCTCTGGACTTCAAGGCCAACCTGGTTTATAAATGGAGGTCCAGGATAACCAGAGCTGTTACAAAGAGAAAGGTTCTTTCTAAAAACAAAACAAAAAAGAAAAAGAAACTTGATCAATGACTAATTGCATTGAATATTTACATGAAAAGCTGACAGGACACAATAATATACTGTATGTCAGGATGCAGTTTTCCAATGTCCTTAAGGGCCTGAGTGGGAAGCTGAAAGCCTCACATCTTCAAATTAAAACAGGAAGCAGAGAGAGCTAATGGACAAGGCTAGGCTAGTTAATGTCCTTAATCACAAGGACAATCCCAGTGATGGACTTTTGCCACTGTGATGGCTATTTTTGGTTGTTTGGTTGTCAACTTGACTGCATCTGGAATGAACCACAGTCCAGAAATGGAGGGCACACCTGTGAGAGACTAATTTCTGCTTGGTTTCTTCTGGATGAAGAGGAGGGAAACAACTATCTTTAAAGAGGATCTCTGGTGGGAAGACACACACCTTTAAACCAGATCTTGAGGCCAGAAGACACACCTGTAATTTCGGCCACACCTTCTGCACTAAGACTATATAAGGACGTGGAAAAAGGAGGCTTTTGCTCATTTCTCCCTTGCCCTCACCTTGTTAACAAGCCCATTCTTTCAGTGGAATTAGAGCCTACTTATTTGAGATTCCAGCATATACTGAAGACCAGCGGAGAGATCCAGCATTGTGGACCAAGCCTCTTCTGGATTCAGGGACTTTCAGTTCACAGTCACCCATTGTTGGATTAGCTGGACTGCTGCCTGTAAGTAATTCCAATAAACTCCAGAAGAGACAGAGAGAGAGAGAGAGAGAGAGAGAGAGAGAGAGAGAGAGAGAGAGAGAGAGAGAGAGAGAAGAGGAGAGAGAGATTGAATCATTGTATCAATTACTCTGTTGTTATTGTGAACTCTAATTAATACAATAAACAAGGCTCTACCCCCTGACTTTTCCCAAATAGGCCAAAAACTGGTGGTTAAATGACCAGACTGTAAGGACATTTCTCATTCAAACTACCACAGAGGTTTGTTGACCTTATCTCAGGCCTTTTGAGCACTTGGTTTCTAGTAGCAAGTGCTGCTTGGAAAGTTGTAGAAGCCACAGAGGGGAAGCTTTCTAGAAAGTAAGTCACTGGTGGACAGAGAACTTTTTTTTTTTCTCTCAAGATAGGGTTTCTCTGTGTAGTTTTGTTGCCTGTCCTGGATCTCACTCTATAGACCAGGCTGGCCTTGAACTCACAGAGATCCACCTCCTCTGTCTTCCGAATAATGAGATTAAAGGCTTGTGCCACCACCTCCCTGCAGACAGTGAACTTCTAATGCCAAGTCACCAGCCATGTAACAACCCAGATCTACAAGGAACAAGATGTTCCCAGCCCCATAGCTTCTGTGTCTGTTGAAAGTCTATGTGCAACTAAACCCTTCCTCCCTAGAATTGATTCCTCACTGGGACTTGATCACAGCCATGATAAAAGTAACTACGACCCTGTTACAGTATAGAAGCTGAGAAAAAACAATCTGACAAGCCATGATTGGTTGGTTGCTTGTGGTGAAATTACAAAGGCAGTATGAAGAATACTAGATACTAGTCCATAAGGGGAACTGCCTGCAGGGAGAATGGAACAATGGTCCTGATAGATTTGGAGTTCTCTAATCAACTGGACCTCAACATATTCCTATTTTAGGTTTTTTAGTTTGTTTGTTTGTTTGTTTGTTTTTTGTTTTTTTGAGACAGGGTTTCTCTGTGTAGCTTTGCACCTTTCCTGGAACTTACTCTATAGCCCAGACTGGCCTTGAACTCACAGAGATCTGTCTGCCAGGATTAAAGGTGTGGGTCACCACTCCCTGCAGTTTGTACTGTCTTTATTAATTGAGCTTATTTAGTTGTTGACTCGGGGTACTACAGGCACTGAGATTAGTTTGAATACATTCTTTGCTTTCTCTTTCATGAAGTGTTTTCTTTAACATTGGTGTTTGTTTGTCTTAATTAGGGTTTCTATTGCTGCAAAATAAAACCCAAAAACAACAAAAAAGAACACGATGACAAAAAACATACCCACAATGAAACAAACAAACAGAAAAACAAACAAACAAAAAACCAAAAATAAATTTGGGGAGGAAAAGTTTTATTCAGCTTACACTTCCAGATTGCTGTTCTTCTTAAGAAAGTCAGGACAGTAACTCAAACAGCAGGATCCGGGAGGCAGGAGCTGATGCAGAGGCCATGGAAGGTTGCTGCTTACTTGATTGCTACCTCTGGCTTACTCAGCCTGATTGTATAGAACCCAGGACCACCAGCCCAAGGATAGCACCACTCACAATGGGCAAGTGCCTCTCCCATTGGTCACTAGTTGAGAGAATGACAGACAGCTGGATCTCATGAAGACATGTCATCAACTGAGGTCCCTTCCTCTCTGAGGACTCTAGTTTGTGTCAGGTTGACCAACAAGTTCCCCAGCACACTGTTCGCACTTTCCAACGTTTTGATAAATTCAGGGAATCCAAGAATCCTGGGCTCTACTTGGCTTGAAGCTAATTTGTTACGAGCCACACCAGTTGGTTATGACTCAAGTCTTTAAGTGCTTTTCTTTGATCTTATTTTAATATTCACACACGTCTAGGTATTCCTTTCATACTTTCTAATTTTCTGGGGTCTAGGAGTTGAAACATCCCTGACAGATCCTCTGGACTGTAGTTTGGTTAGGACATAACCCCTCTTTTCTCCCGCTATAAGTTTGTATCTTCAATCTCTTGATCAGTTTGGGCCAGGATTTTCATTTGGATATATTCTTGAAAAATGACCAAGTCACTCTATCTCTGATCTCAGTCTGTTCCTTTGCACATATACATCAGCAATTCCATCTTTGACCTTTACTATGATTCCTCATCTAGTGCTTGGAGGTTGTGTTCTAGTGTTTCTATGTCCTTGACCTGCATCATTAGATTGATTGGGATGTCCCACATTCCATGACAGAATTCATAGCACTAAACATTCATCCTAAAATTGCATTAACTATTGTTTCTGGTGTTGTTTGTCCCAGGAATTGACAACAAGATAAAGTGTCCTAATTGAGCAGAACATCATGGCCAGCCCCTCAGAAGAAAACATCCTTGAAAAGGATTTCAGGATCTTAACATCTCTAGGCTCTGGTGCATATGGGGAGGTGAAGCTTGCCTGCCACCTTCCTACACAGACACAGGTGGCTGTCAAGGTCCTGGAGAAGAAAAAGAATTCTCTGGCTCGCATCAACACTGAAGCAAAGATACTTCAGTCTGTGGAACACAGAAACATAGTTCATTTTTTTCATGTTATTGACACAAGTTCAACCACTTTTGTGATTATGGAGTATATTGCAGGAAAAAACCTGGAATATTTAATCAGGGAGAGATACTTTCTAAAGGAGGATGAGGTAAGACCAATATTCCAACAGGTCGTTTCAGGAGTTCATTTTCTCCACCAAAAACGAATTGCCCATCGTGATATTAAATTGGAAAATATCCTTATTGACGGAGCTGGCAATGTCAAGCTCTGTGACTTTGGTATGTCCAGAGAGCTGGCAGAGGGGCAGATGTTGAAGGAATTCTGTGGCACCTTAGTCTACTTGGCTCCAGAGATTTTGGCAAGGAAACCATATGATGGACTGGCGGGGGATATGTGGAGCTTGGGAGTTCTCCTATATGTGCTGGTCACAGGAAAATTTCCATATGAAGAAACCACCTATGAACGTATGTACAGGCTCATCACCACCACAATGTTTCCCTGTCCCTACAACGTGTCAGAACCCTGTGTAATCATCATTGCACGATTACTCATGGTCCCCACCCTGCACAGAATAACAATATGTCAGCTCCAGAAAAGCGGATGGCTGGGCAACATTAAAGAACATGCAGCACCTACAGCTAAAGAAATCCTTCCCAGGGTCGTGGAGACCATGTGCACCATGGGATATACCTGTGAAGACATTGTATCATCCCTAAAACACAGGCAACCAAATAATTTAACGGCAACCTTCAATATCCTCAAATACAAACTGAGCTGTGGAGACAGCCATCAGCAAAATAAAAAGCCCTGGTTAAATGACAGTCCTATAGGTGCTGTTCGCCCCCTTCTCCCCTTGAAGAGGAGAGCAAGTGAACCAGCCTTCCCAACAAGTACAGGAGAAGGGAACAGACATTTTCATGAGGAGGGTGTGGAAGGAAGAGGCAGGAGATGCCAAAGCTACCAAATGCTCAACAGATACAGAAAATAAAGCCTGTGAAGAATAAACTGTCCCACAAGGAGATGTCCTGATGGCTAATGTCATCAACAGTGCTATAGGATTCATTGCAGTCAATGCAAATTCTGTAGACAACCGGCCTGGTGAACTTTCCTCAGGTGAATCAGCCCAGATGGAACACTCAACAGGTTTCTTATCATGGGCTTCTTCACAGAGGAACCATTCATGAGGCCCAATATGCCCAATGACCAGCCCCAGGATGAACCTACATCCTTGGGGTCCAGGCTACTCAGAGGCTGGAAGCTGATGAAGAAGAGAATTTCCCATGCACTGAGAGCACTGTTTTTTGGTTCCAAGCCCACTCCATTGTGAGCCCTGAATTCCTGTGTAAGATACAAAGAAATGAGAGGACTGTGCATTGCATAAGAGGCCCAGTTCTTTGGCCACCTCCATTGTATCTTGACTATGTTATTTTAATAAATATCCTTTTGTAAATGACAAGTATACTATCTCAGAGGGCACCTGCAAGGTATATCTCCCCTACAGTCGAAGCCACACACACACAAACACAAATATGAATGTATGAATATATAAAACTTGATGTCACAGCCTGCTTGGTATAGAACCATAAATTGTAAGCCTTCCACATTGCTAACATTCAGGACCTACCCAGTACCCGCATTTTCTATAAACAAAGCCCCAAATATGCATATAGGTCTGTGTACCAGGTCTTGCTAGGTATTCCCTCCCCTACTGCACAGTTAACCCCTCTCTTCTCTCTCCTCTCTTTCTCAACACACACACACACACACACACACACACACACACACACACACACACACCCTTCACACATACTCAAAGGTAGATTTTCAGCAACCCCACATCTGACAGAGGGCTGATCTCCAAAATATATAATGAACTCAAGAATCTAGACATCAAAAATAATGAACAATCCAAATTAAAAAAACAAACTATAGAGCTAAACAGAGAATTCTTAAAGGAAGAATTTCAAACAGCTAAAAGACATTTAAGGAACTGCTCAGGATCCTTAGTCATCAGGGAAATGCAAATCAAAAAACTCTGAGATATGATCATACACCTGTCAGAATGGCTAAGATCAAAAGCACTGCAGACAAATTATGTTGGAGCAGATGTGGAGCAAGGGAAACACTCCTTCACTGTTAGTGGCAGTGTAAACTTGTACAGCCCCTCTGGAAATCAGTGTGGTGATTTCTCAGAAAATTGGGAATCAGTCTTCCTCAAGACACAACTCTACCACTCTTAGGCACACACCCAAAGAATGCTCAATCATACCACAGGGACACATGCTCAACTATGTTCATAGCAGTGTTTTTCATATTAGCCAGAACCTGGAAACAAAGTAGATGCCCCCAAATGAAGAATGGATGAACTCATATGGTACATATACACAATGGAGTACTACTCAGCAGAGAAAAACAATGACATCATGAAATTTGATGGAACTAGAAAATATCATCCTGAGTGAGGCAACCCAGACTCAGAAAGACAAACATGGTATGTACCCACTCATAAGTGGATAGTAGATGTAAAGCAAAGGATAACCAGACAACAACCCACACATCCAGAGAAGCTAGCTAACAAGGAAGACCCAAAGAGGGATGCATGGATTGCTCGGGAAAGGGAAAATAGATGAGATCTCCATAAGTAAACTGGGGATAAGAGGTGGGAAATGGAGGGTAGGGGATAGGGGATGAGAACATAAGGGAATGGGATGTTTGAGCTGGAACAGGGATAGAGTGGGAAAGCAATGAAAGAGGTCCCATGATAGTGGGAGATATCATGGGGTAGGGAGAAACCCAGGATAGGGAAGTTGCCAGGAATCCCCAAGGATGACCCCAGCTTGGACTACTAGAAATAGTGGAGAGGGGGCCTGAAGTAAACCGGCTTGCCTCAGTGATCAGATCGGTGAATACCCTGTCATCACAGAGCTTTTCTGCAATGACTGATGGAAGCAGATGCCGAGATACAAGGCCAAACATCATGCAAAGCTTCAGAAGTCTAGTCAAAGACAGAAAATTCTATGAGCAAGGGATTATATGAGCAAGTGCATCAGGATCATGATGGGGAAACCTTCCAGGACAACCAAACCAAACTAGTGGGAACTCATGAAAGTTGGATCTTTGGCTGTGGAGCCTGCATGGGACTGGACTAGGCCCTCTGCATGACAAGACATTATGTAGCTTGATCTGCTTGGGGGCCCCCTTGTGGTAGGATCATAATCCATCCATGGTGCATGAGCATGCTTTTTGGGGCCCACTACCTATGATGGGAATGTGATGCAGCCTTGAGGCAGGGGGAACGACTTGGATGTTCCTCTGCTGGAGGTGCCTCCCCATTGGAGGCTCTTGCCTTCTTGTAGGAGGAGTTGGGGGTGGTTTGGAGTGAGAGGTGAGGGGTAGTGGGAGGGAAGTTGGGGGTTGATTGTTGTGTAAAATGAATGAAATTTTTTCTTATTAAAAAACAACCTAAGTTAAAAAAAAAATAAAAGCAGAGGAATCCGAGGAACCTGACCAAAATAAAAAAAAAAAAAAGATTATCCACCATGATCAAACTGACTTCACCCCATAGATGTATGCGTAGCAGGAATCTTAGAAGGTCTAATTAATAAAATCAAACCTGAGCCAGGTATTGGGGTGAACACTAGAAGGTCAGAAGGACAGAACAAGGCACAGCTAATCTCACCTGACCAACTTCTCAGCTGGTCTTATTTCCTCAGACTGGAAGCTTCTGTGTCCTCATCCCAATGACTCTCAGCTGAACTGTGTTGCTCAAAGCCTAAAAGCTTAACCAGCCAAATGCTTCTAGTTTCTGGTCTTCAAACCTTATATACCTTTCTGCTTTCTACCATCACTCCCTGGGATTAAAGGCTGGCTTTCTGGGGTTAAAGGCGAGAGTCACCATGCTTGGCTGTATCCAATGTCGCCTTGAATTCACAGAGATCCCAGATGGATTTCTGCCTCTGGAATGCTAGGATTAAAGGCGTGTGTGCCAACATTTTTCTAGCCTAAGTATCTAGTGGCTTTTCTGTTCTCTGACCCCAGATAAGTTTATTAGGGTACACAATATTTTGGGGAACACAATACCACCACATGTATGGATCATTCAAGACACATAAATCAATAAATATGATCCACCATACAAACAAATTAAAAGACAAAACCACATTTTCAACTCATTGAGTGCAGAAAAGGCCTTTGACAATATCCAACATCCCTTCATGATAAAAGTCCTGAAGAGATTAGAGATACAAGGGCTTGCCTAAACAGAATAAAGACAGGCTACAGAAAGTTGAAAACCAACATCAACTTAAATGGAGAGTAATTTAAAGCAATTCTACTAAAATCAGTAAAAAGACAGGTTTTCCAATCTCTCCATACATCTTCAATATAGGACTTGATGTCTTAGCTAGAGCAAGAAGACAACTGAAGGAGATCGAGGGGACATAATGGGAAAGGAAGTGGTCAAGGTAGCTTTATTTGCGAACGATATCATAGTATACATAAATGATCATAAAGAATCCACTCAGAAACTCCTATAGTTGATTCACACTTTCAACAAAGAAGCTGCATACAAATTAACTTAAAAAAATCAGTAGCCCTCCTATATAAAATTGAAAATTCAAATGAGAAAAGAACTCAGGGAAACAATACCATTCACAATAGCCTCAAATAATATAAAGTATCTTTGGGTAAAACTAACCAAGAAAGTGAAGAACATGTTTGATTGATTAAAAAAAAGGAAGTTATCAGAATATGGAAAGATCTCCCATGCTCATGTACCAGTAAGATTAATGTAATAAAAAGAGTCATCCTACCAAAATCAATTTACAAACTCAATACAACCCCCACTAAAAGTCCAAAGCAATTTTTCACAGATCTTGAAAGGACAATTTTCAGCTTCTTATTGAATAACAAAAAACATAGGATAGCTAAAAGAATCCAGAGTCATAAAATAACTGTATGTGATACAATTTTTCTTTTTTATTTTTAGTTGTACTACAGAGTGATAGTCATAGAAACAGCATGGCGTGAACCCGAAAAACATGTGCTGATCAATGTAATCAAATTGAAGACCAAGATATAAAGCCACAAACCTATGGACACAAGATTTTTAAGAGAGAAACCAGAAACACACACTGGAAATTAGACAACATCTTCAACTAATGCTACTGGTCAAACTGGATGGCTGCATGTAGAAAAATTGAAATAGATGCATATTGATCAACTTGTACAAAATTCAACTGGAAATAGACAAAAGATCTCACCATAAAAAACAGATACACAGAACCTGGTAGAAGAAAAAATGGGGAATAGCCTTGGACTCATTGAAACAGGAAAACTTTCTGAACAGAACACGGTTAGTACACATACTAAGATTAACAATTAATAAATTGACCTCATGAAACTGAGAAGCTTCTGCACAACAAAGGACACTGTCCTTCAAAGTGTCAGCCTACAGAATGGGATAAGATTTTCACTAACTACACATCCAACAGAGGGATAATATTCACAATATATGAAGAAATCAATAACTAAATATCAAAAAAATGAATACTCCATCTAAAAATGGGGTACAACCTAAACAGATTTTTTCAAAGGAAGAAACTCAAATGAATGTGAAACTTAAAGGAATGTTCTGAAGTCCTGCATGTCTGATGGGGTTTCTGTAAGACGAATTGCTAAATGGTCATTTTATTAAAAAAAAAAAAAAAAAAAAAAACCCTGAGCCAGATGTTGCAGTCAAAACTGAGAGATCAGAGAAGCACAAAGGAACCAGCCACATTCTGACCCCTAGGAAATCTTCAGCCAAAGAGAGAGCTACTTCCTGTATATTCACACCTATATGCCTTTGTGTGCTCTGCCACCTTACTTCCTCACTCCTCCCAGCTACATCACTTCCTCTTTCCACCCAGCTCTATCACTTCCTGTCTGTCTGTACAGACCTCCAGACCTCTTTGGTTAACTAGCACTGGGATTAAAGGCATGAGCCAC